CATTTCAACTAACTTTAAAATCCATTCACCTTTATTTCAAAAAGTATTACTAATTATTATGCTGTGAGTGTGGTTCAAATCCAGTCCTTTGCAGCATGCTCACTACTAGCACTCAGGAAAAAGTCTCTAGCTACTCTTCTSCTTAGCAATGTGTGATAAATGTTGTACCTTGATGTTTTGTAAGTCCTGGACTCATGGAGAACAATTTCAGCCCCAAAAACCCTAGAAACTGATTCTTTCCTAATTTGTAGACCCCGTGCTTCAAGAAGCCTCAAAAACCAAGCCAACAGAAGAATGGAAGCACAACTGGTTACCTGCTTCTGCATGCACAGAGAAAAGGCAGCCTTGGACTTTTAGGGATTCCCTGAAATTCATCAGAATCAGGTCTGGATTCCAGAATGGCAAGTTGAGAAACAGAATGGTTTCYACTGGTGACCAAGGCTTGATGTCTGTGTGGCCAGTCACATCTAGAGTGTTAGGAAGCACAAAAAGTGACCCACACTGTGTTTTAAACCAATGATTTTCAGGGCAAAGAGTGGTGTCTGCTCAGAACAGGAACTAATGTGCTCCAGAGCAACAACTCAGGAGTTGGGAAGCTCTTTCGAAGGCACTGGAAATGAGGGAGGGTTCTCRAAATCCACCTTCCAGTCTCCTTTTTCCACTGGGAGATGTGAATGCTCTCCTAGAGATGGGCTCACTTCTGCTTTCTTTTGAAGAACAGGTACCCACAGAGCCAAAAATTCRGGTTCCCTACAGGACAGCAGTGCCTGGACAGGGGGTTTCCAGCTCAGACATGGGTAAACTTAAACGCCAAACCCCCATTTCACAGCTTAGGTCATCCTTTTAAAAAAGGGCCACTTCCCAGGGAAGTCAAAAAGCATCATCAATTAATGCAGGCTGCAACAACTGGCCATTTTAAAGTTGTTTTTTTTTGGCAGATCTCTCACCTGAACACCACCTAAGAACAGGGATCCTTATTCTGACAGGAAGGCAGCCTTAGGGAAGCAAATGGGATGTGCTGTTTGGGGCAGATTCTGATCTAAAGATCAATGCACACACCTCTGTCAAAACTCAAACCTGGTAGAAAACACCACTCACAGCAAATGGAAGAAATCTCAGCAAGTCCAGATGCTTTTCCTTGTGTCAATGCTGGAAAAAAGACCACCTTTCTTTCCTTTTGTATTTCACCTATGATGCTTGAGTGTAAAATAATCTAGCAACTAATCCTCAGGCAGTTTCTCAGGTTGAACCAATGAAGTTTTGATAACATTTGGCACTTGGCAATAATACAGCCAGGTTAAGGTATTTAAGCATAAATATAAACAATAATGAAAAAAGAAAAAAAAAAAAAAGTTTTGATAACATTTGGCACTTGGCAATAATACAGCCAGGTTAAGGTATTTAAGCATAAATATAAACAATAATGAAAAAAGAAAAAAAAAAAAAAAAAAAAAAAAAAAAAAAAAAAAAAAAAAAAAAAAAAAAAAAA